CTCCCACTTAAAAAGATGAGAGAGGCCTGTAATTTTCATCATAGGTACACGTCAAACATGACAGACAAAATGAGGAAAAAAAATCCAGAAAATCACATTGTAGGATTTTTTATGAATTTATTTGCAAATTATGGTGGAAAATAAGTATTTGGTCAATAACAAAAGTTTCTCAATACTTTGTTATATACCCTTTGTTGGCAATGACACAGGTCAAACGTTTTCTGTAAGTCTTCACAAGGTTTTCACACACTGTTGCTGGTATTTTGGCCCATTCCTCCATGCAGATCTCCTCTAGAGCAGTGATGTTTTGGGGCTGTCGCTGGGCAACACAGACTTTCAACTCCCTCCAAAGATTTTCTATGGGGTTGAGATCTGGAGACTGGCTAGGCCACTCCAGGACCTTGAAATGCTTCTTACGAAGCCACTCCTTCGTTGCCCGGGCGGTGTGTTTGGGATCATTGTCATCCTGAAAGACCCAGCCACGTTTCATCTTCAATGCCCTTGCTGATGGAAGGAGGTTTTCACTCAAAATCTCACGATACATGGCCCCATTCATTCTTTCCTTTACACGGATCAGTCGTCCTGGTCCCTTTGCAGAAAAACAGCCCCAAAGCATGATGTTTCCACCCCCATGCTTCACAGTAGGTATGGTGTTCTTTGGATGCAACTCAACATTCTTTGTCCTCCAAACACGACGAGTTGAGTTTTTACCAAAAGGTTCTATTTTGGTTTCATCTGACCATATGACATTCTCCCAATCCTCTTCTGGATCATCCAAATGCACTCTAGCAAACTTCAGACGGGCCTGGACATGTACTGGCTTAAGCAGGGGGACACTGCTGACGTGGGAACAGCGCCGGAAGAAGATGGCTGCCGTTTTACAGCCCTCTAACCAATTGTACTACTATGTGTGTTTTTCCGCGTTATTTGTAATTTATTTTGTACATAATGTTTCTGCCATCCTCTCTTATAACCAAAGAGAGCTTCTGGATATCAGGACAGCGATTACTCACCTCGCGTTGGACGAAGACTTTTTCTTCAACGAGGCGTTCGCGAAGGATATTCTACAGACTCCCGACAAGGCCCAGATCCCCGTCATTCGCGTGAGGAAGAGACGGAGATATCGTGGACGCAGATCCGGGTGCCTTGTAAGGATCCGACGGCGAACGAGTAAACTGCCTCTCCCATCAATCCTATTAGCCAATGTTCAATCTTTTGAGAATAAAATTGACGATTTAAGATTACGGTTATCCTACCAACGGGACATTAAAAACTGTAATATCTTATGTTTCACGGAGTCGTGGCTGAACGACAACAATGACAACATTCAGCTAGCGGGCTATACGCTACATCGACAGGACAGAACTGCAGACTCTGGTAAGACAAAGGGTGGCGGTCTGTGTATATTTGTAAACAACAGCTGGTGCACAAAATCAAATACTAAGGAAGTCTCGAGGTTTTGCTCGCCTGAGGTAGAGTATCTTATGATAAGCTGTAGACCACACTATTTACCAAGAGAGTTTTCATCTATATTTTTCATAGCTGTCTATTTACCACCACAAACCAATGCTGGCATTAAGATTGCACTGAATGAGTTGTACAAGGCCATTAATCAACAGGAAAACGCTCATCCAGATGCAGCGCTCCTAGTAGCCGGGGACTTTAATGCAGGGAAACTTAAATCCGTTCTACCTCATTTCTACCAGCATGTTAAATGTGCAACCAGAGGGGAAAAAAACTCTAGACCACCTTTACTCCACACACAAAGACGCATACAAAGCTCTCCCTCGCCCTCCATTTGGCAAATCTGACCATAACTCTATCCTCCTGATTCCTGCTTATAAGCAAAAACTGAAGCAGGAAGCACCAGTGATTCGGCTAATAAAAAAGTGGTCAGATGACGCAGATGCTAAGCTACAGGACTGTTTTGCTAGCACAGACTGGAACATGTTCCGGGATTCTTCAGACAGCATTGAGGAGTACACCACATCAGTCACTGGCTTCATCAATAAGTGCATCGATGATGTCGTCCCCACAGTGACCGTACGTACATACCCCAACCAGAAGCCATGGATTACAGGAAACATCCGCACTGAGCTAAAGGGTAGAGCTGCCGCTTTCAAGGAACGGGACTCTAACCCGGACGCTTATAAGAAATCCCGCTATGACCTCCGACGAACCATCAAACAGGCAAAGAGTCAATACAGGTCTAAGATTGAATCATACTACACTGGCTCTGACGCTCGTCGGATGTGGCAGGGCTTGAAAACTATTACAGACTACAAAGGGAAGCACAGCCGCGAGCTGCCCAGTGACACAAGCCTACCAGACGAGCTAAACCACTTCTATGCTCGCTTCGAGGCAAGCAACACTGAAGCATGCACGAGAGCACCAGCTGTTCCGGACGACTATGTGATCACGCTCTCCGTAGCCGATGTGAGTAAGACTTTTAAGCAGGTCAACATTCACAAGGCCGCAGGGCCAGACGGATTACCAGGACGTGTACTCCGAGCATGTGCTGACCAACTGGCAAGTGTCTTCACTGACATTTTCAACATGTCCCTGACTGAGTCTGTAATACCAACATGTTTCAAGCAGACCACCATAGTCCCCGTGCCCAAGAACTCTAAGATAACCTGCCTAAATGACTACCGACCCGTAGCACTGACGTCTGTAGCCATGAAGTGCTTTGAAAGACTGGTCATGGCTCACATCAACAGCATAATCCCAGAAACCCTAGACCCACTCCAATTTGCATACCGCCCCAACAGATCCACAGATGATGCAATCTCTATCGCACTCCACACTGCCCTTTCCCACCTGGACAAGAGGAACACCTACGTGAGAATGCTATTCATTGACTACAGCTCAGCATTCAACACCATAGTGCCCTCTAAGCTCATCACTAAGCTAAGGATCCTGGGACTAAACACCTCCCTCTGCAACTGGATCCTGGACTTCCTGACGGGCCGCCCCCAGGTGGTAAGGGTAGGTAACAACACATCTGCCACACTGATCCTCAACACGGGGGCCCCTCAGGGGTGCGTGCTCAGTCCCCTCCTGTACTCTCTGTTCACCCATGACTGCATGGCCAGGCACGACTCCAACACCATCATTAAGTTTGCCGACGACACAACAGTGGTAGGCCTGATCACCGACAACGATGAGACAGCCTATAGGGAGGAGGTCAGAGATCTGGCCGTGTGGTGCCAGGACAACAACCTCTCCCTCAACGTGACCAAGACAAAGGAGATGATTGTGGACTACAGGAAAAAAAAGAGGACTGAGCACGCCCCCATTCTCATCGACGGGGCTGTAGTGGAACAGGTTGAGAGCTTCAAGTTCCTTGGTGTCCACATCACCAACGAACTATCATGGTCCAAACACACCAAGACAGTCGTGAAGAGGGCACGACAAAGCCTATTCCCCCTCAGGAGACTAAAAAGATTTGGCATGGGTCCTCAGATCCTCAAAAAATTCTACAGCTGCACCATCGAGAGCATCCTGACTGGTTGCATCACCGCCTGGTATGGCAACTGCTTGGCCTCTGACCGCAAGGCACTACAGAGGATAGTGCGTACGGCCCAGTACATCACTGGGGCAAAGCTCCCTGCCATCCAGGACCTCTATACCAGGCGGTGTCAGAGGAAGGCCCTCAAAATTGTCAAAGACTCCAGCCACCCTAGTCATAGACTGTTCTCTCTGCTACCGCACGGCAAGCGGTACCGGAGTGCCAAGTCTAGGTCCAAAAGACTTCTCAACAGCTTCTACCCCCAAGCCATAAGACTCCTGAACAGCTAATCATGGCTACCCGGACTATTTGCACTGCCCCCCCACCCCATCCTTTTTACGCTGCTGCTACTCTGTTAAGTATTTATGCATAGTCACTTTAACTCTACCCACATGTACATATTACCTCAACTACCTCAACTAGCCGGTGCCCCCGCACATTGACTATGCAACGGTACCCCCCTGTATATATAGCCTCCCTACTGTCACTTTATTTTACTGTATATATAGCCTCCCTACTGTCACTTTATTTTACTTCTGCTCTTTTTTTCTCAACACTTTTTTGTTGTTGTTTTATTCTTACTTTTTTGTTTAAAATAAATGCACTGTTGGTTAAGGGCTGTAAGTAAGCATTTCACTGTAATGTCTGCACCTGTTGTATTCGGCGCATGTGACCAATAAAATTTGATTTGATTTGATTTGACTGCAGGATTTGAGTCCCTGGCGGCGTAGTGTGTTACTGATGGTAGGCTTTGTTACTTTGGTCCCAGCTCTCTGCAGGTCATTCACTAGGTGCCCCCGTGTGGTTCTGGGATTTTTGCTCACCGTTCTTGTGATCATTTTGACCCCACAGGGTGAGATCTTGCGTGGTGCCCGAGATCGAGGGAGATTATCAGTGGTCTTGTATGTCTTCCATTTCCTAATAATTGCTCCCACAGTTGATTTCTTCAAACCAAGCTGCTTACCTATTGCAGATTCAGTCTTCCCAGCCTGGTGCAGGTCTACGATTTTGTTTCTGGTGTCCTTTGACAGCTCTTTGGTCTTGGCCAAAGTGGAGTTTGGAGTGTGACTGTTTGAGGTTGTGGACAGGTGTCTTTTATACTGATAACAAGTTCAAACAGGTGCCATTAATACAGGTAACGAGTGGAGGACAGAGGAACCTCTTAAAGAAGTTACAGGTCTGTGAGAGCCAGAAATCTTGCTTGTTTGTACGTGACCAAATACTTATTTTCCACCATAATTTGCAAATAAATTCATAAAAAATCCTACAATGTGATTTTCTGGATTTTCTTTTCTCAATTTGTCTGTCATAGTTGACGTGTACATATGATGAAAATTACAGGCCTCTCTCGTCTTTTTAAGTGGGAGAACTTGCACAATTGGTGGCTGACTAAATACTTTTTTGCCCCACTGTATGTATGTATGTAAGCATAGGGAGGAGGAAAGTGTGTCTTTTGTTATCTGACGTGTTGTATGCAGCAGGTGGAGGGATGAGCCTCTTCCCTGTGATTGGCACATACGTGCCGGAAGCAGCCAATGGGGTGCATACACCAGACTCCCCTGGATCCTGCAGTGAGAATGGCCCGCACACCCACGGCCCTACTACCCCCTCGCAGCTCCTGAAGTTTGGGGGCAGGGTGCCCTGTTCTGGGCACGGATACCTCGATGGGACCCCTGGAGAGACTGAGAACTGTGTGGATGGGGAGAAAGCATGCGATGTACAAGAAGACCCCATAGACACTCCTCACAACTACATGTCCCATTCGGACAAACAACTCAAAAACACGCTCCTAGCACAGCTCTCCCTCCCCACTGCCACATGCACGGCAGACACAAACCCACACGCGCCCCCTCAAGACATGTCCCTCACTGGACCCCCCCAAACAGATGAGCCACTAAATGAGGTTCTGTCTGGAGACTCACAGAACACCACCACAGCAACAGGCATTCCATCCAAAGACACAGCCCCACATAGGGACACTCCCAGTGCAGACAAACATCAGTCAGAGACAGAACACACAGAGCCTCGTAGCTGCTGTTCTGTAGAAACAGAGGAGCAGGAGGAGGAAAAGCAGGATGAGGAGGAGCGAGAGGAGCAGCATGCAGGAAACACCCAGGATGAAGTCACAGCTGAGGTGAGTCTGCCATACTGACCGCTACTGCCCCTGTACATAATCGTTAACGTTGAAGTGCCAGAGTCAACAGCTCAAGAATAGAATATAGTACTTTATCCATTGTGACGTGGATTTTTTTTGTTTTTGTATAGATTTCTACCACCTGCAATAGTGAGGATATGCATGTGTATTGTTCATACGTCTGGTCCCGGTATGTAAGACTGCCTCTTCCCCTCAGTTTACAGAGGAGCCCTCGGCAGCATCACCTGGCCCCAGCTCTGCCCCAGCCGAGGGGGAGTCATCAGACAGCAGCCCCTGCCCGCCCCACGTCATGGCCCAGGTACACGTGCGGAACGTCCCCGAGCGGGAGCGCATCGTCCGGGGCATGCAGGACAGCAAGAGTCTGGATGAGATCAGCCAGGCGTGCGGCGGAGTGGCCCGAGGCGTGGGCCGGGGGGGCCAACCAGAGGGCCGCAGGGCCACCATCTCCTCTGCCCTGGAGCTGGAGGGAACAGTCAGCCACGACGGGGACCTGACCCACTTCATCTGCCGCAACCTGGAGCAGAAGATCAAGATGAGCTCCAAGCCCAGCCTGGACTGTGACTGTGAATGTGAGTATAGCACCGGAGGACTGCAGGGATCGGATAGTTATTCACCTGGGTCGTATTCATTAGGCACCAAACAGAAGATAACTGACTAAAACAGGGAGAGACCACCTGAACTTGTCCAGTAAGAAACGCTTGTTTTCTTTTTCTGTTGTGTAACATTTTGCTCCTTTGTGATTAGATTAGCACCCTCAGGAAGGGTGGGAGGACGGATGAGTCACAGAGCACTGCTTGGATGAGGGAGGCTGATTTGCTTTGTAGACTGTCAAGATAAGGTAGTAATTTCCTGTGTGTGTTTTTCTGTCTCTCTCTTTCTGTGTCCAGCGGACTGCTCGGGTTCCATCAGTAGCAGAGGTCGGGGGTCGTCGTTGCGGCAGCCGGCAGACATCCCTCCCATTGACCCTGCTGTCCTGGTGGACCTGCAGAGACACACTCAGGATGTTGCCCACAGTGTGGAGCTGATGATGCGCAGCCTCAACGGAACCATCCAGAACGTACGTGAGCTCAGTTTGTTCACACATACCATTTTGATCTCCGCTCAACTATCCTTTTAGTCCTGCTCTGCTATACATTCCTTATTGTAATGCTCTTATTGTAAATTACCTGATATTAAGGGTCTACTATGTTATATACACTGAGTGTACAAAACATTAAGAACACCTGCTCTTTCCATGACAGACTGGTGAATCCAGGTGAAAGCTATGATCCATTATTAATGTAACCTGTTAAATCTACTTCAATCAGTGTAGATGAAGGGGAGGAGACAGGTTAAAGAAAGGTTTTTAAGTCTTGAGACAATTAAGACATGGATTGTGTATCTGTGCCATTCAGAGGGTGAATGGGCAAGACAAAATATTTAAGTGCCTTTGGTAGTAGGTGCCAGGCGCACCGGTTTGAGTGTGTCAAGAACTGCAACACTGCTGGGTTTTTCACGCTTAACAGTTTCCCATGTGTATCAAGAATGGTCCACCACCCAAAGGACATCCAGCCAACTTGACAACTGTGGGAAGCATTGGAGTCAACATGGGCCAGCATCCCTGTAGAACGCTTTCGACACCTTGTAGAGTCCATGCCCTTACGAATTGAGGCTGTTTTGAGGTTAAAAGGGGAACCAACTCAATATTAGGAAGGTGTTCCTAATGTTTGTACACTCAGTGTATGTCTTTATCGGTGGCGCAGTGCTAGCTGTGCCACTAGAGATCCTGGTTCGAATCCAGGCTCTGTCGTAGCCGGCCGCGACCGCGAGACCCATGGGGCGGCGCACAATTGGCCAAGCGTCATCCAGGGTAGGGGAGGGAATGGCCGGCAGGGATGTAGCTCAGTTGGTAGAGCATGGTATTTGCAACGCCAGGGTTGTGGGTTCGATTCCCACGGGGGGCCAGTATGAAAAAAATAAAAAAAATGTGTGCACTCACTAACTGTAAGTCGCTCTGGAATGACTAAAATGTACAAAAAATTTTTTGTGTGTGTCCAGATGACCGCGCTGAGTGTGGGATACATCCAAACCTACAGAGACTCAGTGGACAGCCTGGGGGAGTCTGTGGACATGAGCATAAAGGTGAGAGAAGAGAGAGCTTGGCTAGACATGAGGAGGTATATGATGATCAATGGCAATCATGGATGCTTGTTGTGGCATTAGTATATGATGTGTGTTCACTTCCTCCATGTATTCAATCGTTTGTGTGTTCATAGGGAATGTACACGCTGATGGCGCGCTGTGAGGAGCTGGATCGCTCCATGCAGCCCATCCACATCCTGGCTGCCCAGATCCGGGACATCAAGCGCACCCTGGACGCCCTGGAAGCCATCTGCAAGTAGCCCCTCCCCCCTGGAGACCCCTCTCCCCCAGAGACCCTCGTCCACTGCAGACACTTTGCTAACCTAACGACCCCCTTTCTCCCTCCCTGGAATCACTGCTGCTAATCATGCCGGCTTCATGGATGATCTACATTACACCCCTCTCCTCACCCCTCCCCCATGGATACGTCCTGCTGCAAACCCCTCCCCACCCCCGAGATCCTCGCTCGACTAGGAGCCCCTCCCCCTGATAGAACTTGAAGGAAATGGAGCGCTTGATGCTTCTCTTACTGTATTACCGGCCGACCCACTTGGTTCAGATTGCACTAACTGCTGCTGCCCACACGGTGGCACTCTCTCCCTCTCAAGTTATCGTTACTCATTGTGTATCTATTACGGGTTTTATTTTTCTATTATTTCTCAATTTTCTTTCTCTCTGCGTTGTTGGGAAGGGCCACACCTGTTGTTTCCGAAGTATATGACGAATAAGATTTGATTTGTATGGAGCGTGAGCTTTAGGAACTGTTGAGATAAGATTGTTTAGATAATAATAAAATAATAATAATAATAATATGCCATTTAGCAGACGCTTTTATCCAAAGCGACTTACAGTCATGCGTGCATACATTTTTTTTTTTGTGTATGGGTGGTCCCGGGGATCGAACCCACTACCTTGGCGTTACAAGCGCCGTGCTCTACCAGCTGAGCTACAGAGGACCATGTTAGTCACTTCTTAGGCAGGTTCCTGAAACTGCCTGTGGCATGTTTTAATAGTAAGATGAGACAGGTGAAGGTGTGGGGTTACATATTATATTGTATAAAGGGCAGTCCCTCCATGTTATATACCTGCTAGTAACAGGCTGTTACCAACCAAAAGCCATTCCCTGTAAAGCTCTCCTCTGTGTTCCCTGGATAATATGTTGCGCTTTAGGAGACTGTGGTACCTTTGTCACTTCACAGGTTGGCTGGCAGGTAGGCCTGTCTCAATTTCGAACATATCTATTTGGCATAAATTGTGTTGCCATGGTGAGAGGTTCTGGACAGCCATTACATGTAACATGCCCTTACAGTTGTTTTGCACCATGGCCCATGAAGGACTTGGAAGCTACCAGATGTCGTCAGACCTGCTGAAGCCCCACCTAGATAAGGCAGCACCCTCACACTGGAGATAGAAGGGGATGGGCTGTAGGACTATAGACTTTGGGGTGGCGCATGTTTGGCTGGGGAGAGAGGGATGGCCTCCTCTCTAACTGCTCTTAATAATATCTCTGTACAATCAGAAGCACCTTTGTACATATGATCTCTTTCTGTAACAAAAAATTGATTTAGCTACCCTTTGTCCTAAGTGTATATTTTAAGAAAAATAACACATTTACATGAGCTGCAAAGAGTACCTGTCTGTTTTTGTTCCTGGTTTGGTTGTGATGACATGAGTGCATAGATACAGGACATCTAGAGTGCATTCATTACATTTTATATAAAATGTTACTACATTTCCACAGAAAAAAGGCATGATTTATTGTCATCACAATAGCATGACCTGTAAGAACACAAAGGTAATGGTGAAGTCATTTCAAATGATATGACTGCAGCAACATGTTGTGGGTTGTAGAATGTGTGTTTACATTGTGTTTGAGGAAACCAAGTTGTGAACCATATTACAGCATAGCCATTCACATGTAAGGAGTAGAGTGAAGGAAAAAAAGTGTGCAAATAAACAAAAATTAGTTAATATTTGTCATTTAACAGACACTCTTAACCAGAGCGACTTACGGGAGCAATTAGGGTTAAGTGCCTTGCTCAAGGGCACATCGACAGACTTTTCACCTAGTCTGTTTGGGGATTCAAACCAGCGACGTTTCAGTTACTGGCCCAATGCTCTTAACCACTAGGCTACCTGCTGCCCCAGAAACATCCAGTACTGCCCTGCTATGAACTGAATACACAGAACTGTCGACGAGACAAGAAATTATAGCAATGTTCACCACGTCCTATGAATAAAACACTTTTTTGTTTGTTCATGTCATGTTCTTGGTTGTACAGACAATACAGCCACAAACAATAAAAAATCCAGTTTCCAAAGGAAAAGTATATTTTTCACAACATTTCATTGTTCGAAATAGGGATATTTTGTACCACGCACCTTTTTTATACACTAGTGTGACTGTCTTTAGCCCCCTGAGCCCTGACCTGATAGTCCAGCAGGTTAGTCAGGGGTTCAGGCATAAATCTGTGTTTAAGCTTAAATCTGTGGTTAATACCAGCAGTAGAGGTAGGAGAGGTGCAGTGAGTGACAGTCCACTGTGGTCCAAGAGAGCGAGGGTGGGGCTGGTTCCCTGGTTCAGCTCACTCAATAAGAGGGGATTCAGTGTGGGAGGAAGAGCTCCCTGTGCCCTGACCTCAGCCCTGTCCTTGAGGACCTCCTCGTCGGCGACCCTGGGGGCAGTATGACTGACAATGTATGGAAGATTGAAGAGATGTATACCTGAGTCCTTGTAGAGAAGACACCTGGATCGTTCTCCCAGAGGATAACCCCTGCTGCCCCCATGGCAGCACTCTAACCAATAGTGTTGCCCAAGTCCGCCTGAGGGAACATCACACAGTTATACACTAGTTTCAGACCCACCAGACAAAGAGAAACCACTATCAAAAATATGGTAACATCCACTTCCACCCAGCACTATCTCTCACCTCATACAGAAAAGTATTAGTTGACGTATAGACACTACTGACTAATAGGAACACAGGAAGGTCGTAGGTGGTCCCAGCCAAGCCTGCCACTCTCAGTGCCTCTCGGATCTGATTAGATGTGTACAGTCTGGCCCCTGAGGTCTCGCCCTGCAGCTTCTCTAGCATGAGGGCAGGGTAGAGGGCGGAGCAGCGTTTCCATAGCCATAGCAGCTCGTCGTTCAACGCCATTTCGGCAGCGGGGCAGCGGCCCGTGTAATTGGACAGCGACTGGGCGGGCCAGAGTTGTAGCAGTTGGGGTATGGGGACACGCCCCACAGATCCTTGGGCGGAGCCTCCTTATCTCCCACAGTGCCTGCATGAGGATGGACTGGGCCGCCATCTCAATCCACCTGGGGGACGGGATGACATCATCATTATGGGACAACTGTGACATACTGAATAGCATCTATCACTGTTGTGATGAGGATCTTACCTGAGACCACTTCTCCAACTGCTCTGTGGTCCAGTCAGGGAAGAAGGTCCTCAGCAGAGCCCTGGAGCCCTCCAGGTAGATGCCCTGTTTCTCACGGTTCCTTCCCCACTGCGGGGACCACTGGCCCCAACCCAGTACCCCCAGTCCCTGATACCACGGAAAGGGTAGCGCTGCCGCCTGGTCCTCCTGTGTATTCTGGAGGTGTCCTTCCAGTCTGAGGGGTTGGGGAAGGCGTCCGTTCACAGGCTGGTCCTGGTCAGTGTAATAAGGGTACTTCCTCAGAGTGTCCTCATAAAACATGGCCACAAGGCCCTCTCTCTCCATCCCAATGGCTCCTGGGTCGGGACGTCCAGAATGCCTTGTTGGCTACTCCCCATAGTACTAGGAAAGGCTGCCTTGGTGACAGAGGGATGCGGGCAGGCTTTGGGGGAACACCGAGGCAGGGGGAGGTGAGGAACATCAAGAGGAGGAATGGTAGGAGGGCCCTGTGTGGCCCAGCGCTGAGCCCTTCCCGGAGCACCAGCTCAGTCCAAGCCATGGAGCTGTCTGCTGCCTCTGTGTCTCACCACGGTTCCAGGTCCTCACAACCAACTATAGAACACAACACAGCAAGACCCTCACCTCAGCTGTCAACATGTGGAGGCCACACATTAATTGCTACAGTATGTACAGTTAACAAATCACATGTATTGTCATTGAATCACAGTCAACAATAACAATTTAATCACAAAAACCTGATGTCAAAAATCAAATATGCCATTTAGCAGACGCTTTTATCCAAAGCGACTTACAGTCATGTGTGCATACATTTTTACGTATGGGTGGTCCTGGGGATCGAACCCACTACCCTGGCGTTACAAGCGCCATGCTCTACCAATTGAGCTACAGAGGACCACAAATCACATTGCCAGGATGCCCCACTCACCCCTAGGGCTCTATTCAATCTGTATCGCTGAAGCGTTACAGATTGCGCTATAAAAATGTTAAGGTAAAGAGCCGACATACAGTACCAGTCAAAAGTTTGGACACACCTACTCATTCAAGGCAAAGGGTGACTTCAAAAGTTTGGACACACCTACTCATTCAAGGCAAAGGGTGTCGTCAAGGCAATGGGTGACTATTTGAAGAATCTCAAATATAAAATATATTTGATTTGTTTAACACTTTTTGGTTAATACATGATTCCATATGTGTTAATTCATAGTTTTGATGTCTTCACTATTATTCTACAATGGAAAAAATAGTAAAAATAAAGAAAAAACCATGAATGAGTAGGTGTGTCCAAACTTTTGACTGGTACTGTATGCATCTTTTACTGTGAATGCAGTCTCCTCTGACGTGGGAACATTGCCTTTAAATTTAAATCACGCTGTAACGCTGAACTTTCGCGATATGGATTGAATAGAGCTCCTAGTCAGTCCCATGTCGCCACCAGACAGTATTTAAACCATTCTCATTGACTGGTGGGATTCTTATGAAATCTTATTTGGGCCTCCAAGAGTACAGGTCTAAAACATTTTAGTCATTTAGCAGACGCTCTTATCCAGAGCAACTTACAGTTAGTAAGTGCATACATTTTTCATACTGGCCCCCCGTGGGAATCAAACCCACAACCCTGGTGTTGCAAGCGCCATGCTCTACCAACTGAGCTACACAGGAGGCTAAAACAACAAAGGAAGAGATGGTTGATGAGGTGTGTGTGTGTCAGCGGCAGCACCATCAGAGGAGATGTAGACTAGAGGAAAAGGATGCCTCAGAAAGGTAATTACCAAGAGTGAATTACCAAGAGTTCATTGGATTCATTAGTGCCGCCCACATTGGCCATAGATGCTGCTCAGTAATACGGCTCTTGTTGTCGATAAACTGTATATTGACAACCAAATGTTCCGCGACACAAAGACTACTCCATGGCTATTCTGAAAGTTCTAATAGAGGAGTCGAATAATGGAACGCCCAATACTAGCCATGGTAAGGATTGTAATAATAAAGCACATTTATAGTATGTATAGTATTTTATAAAGGGATAAGACGGTATTACAAGAAAAGATAACAAGCAAAATAATACATCTTCAAATACAACTAAATTAGAACACAAGTACTCAATCAACATAGTGGAGATAAAAACATAGCAAACAGAAGACATAGAAGGCACAGTATGTGGGTATGTGTGGATGAATTGTGATGGAAGGTGTGGTGTGCGTTTTTGTGTTTGAAAAAGTGTGGCGTTAAGTGAGTGAGAAAGGAAATGGTTGCATATCCCAGAACCAACGTGTGTCTGTGAGCATGGGTTGTGAGAGAGAGCTTTCAATTTTGTGCAGATGAGGGATATACATTGTAAAATATAGTATACATCTAATCTATTTTTTTATTGTCCTATCACCTTGGGGAAAAGGGTTACAACGGGGGACCAGTGTGTTTGTGTCTCAGGTGAAGAGGGTGAATCTGATCTCCATCACCTAGGACTTGACATAGATTAAATAGATTAATTAAATCTCAAATTTTGCTCAATCTTGCATGCTTTCTCAAACAGCTGTAACTGTATAAGCATTCATAAATCAGGTCCTTTCTTGAGTTGGGCTCTGGGATGTAAAAACCGTTGAGCATCTGATCTTATGGTTGATTGTGGCGGAAAGGGGTTGAGTGTATGCGTGTGTGTTTATCCCACATCTGTTGCAAGGGGGTAAGGATGTTAGGGAGTGTCACGCCCTGACTCAGGGGACGCTTATATGTTGAGTCAGGGTGTGTGTATTCCTTGTTGTGTTAGTTCTATGTTGTAGAATCTAGTATGTCTATTTCTATGTTGGCCGGTGTGGTTCCCAATCAGAGGCAGCTGTCGCTCGTTGTCTCTGATTGGGGACCATACTTAGGCAGCCTATTGGCACTAGTGGGTTGTGGGATCTTGTTCCGTGTAGGTATGTTTTGTGTTCTACCTTGGACTTCCCGTTTCGTTTGTTTATTGTTTTGTCAGTTGTTTATTCATTAAAATAAACATGTACGCATATCACGCTGCGCCTTGGTCCGTCCCGTTCATGAACGATCATGACAGGGAGAATATAGGATGAACCATAATAATTGTTTGCTAAAATAATAATTGCTTGTCAAAAATGTAATGTAATACAATGGCAATCCGCGTTATAGGTTAAAATCCTATGCATAAACTGCCGACATTATTACACATATTAATTGATAATGATGGAAAATAAGATATGCAAGATACTTGAATAGATATACATTTTTAAATAGCTATATATACAGTTGAAGTCGGAGGTTTACATACACTTAGGTTGGAGTCATTAAAAGTTGTTTTTCAACCACTCCACAAATGTATTGTTAACAAACTATAGTTTTGGCAAGTCGGTTACAAATGCATTCCACAGTAAGAACATCATACCAAAGGTCAAGCATGGTGGTGGTGGTGTGATGGTTTGGGGATGCTTTGCTGCCTCAGGACCTGGACGACTTGCCTTAATAGAAGGAACCATGAATTCTGCTCTGTATCAGAGAATTCTACAGGAGAATGTCAGACCATCCGTCTGTGAGCTGAAGCTGAAGCGCAGCTGGGTCATGCAGCAAGACAATGATCCAAAACACACAATCAAGTCTACATGAAAATTGTAGTCCAGACCTAATCCCAATTGAGATGTTGTGGCAGGACTTGAAACGAGCAGTTCATGCTTGAAAACCCACACGTCACTGAGTTAAAGTAGTTCTGCATGGAAGAGTGGGCCAAAATTCCTCCACAGCAACGTGAGAGACTGATCAACAACTACAGGAAGCATTTGGTTGGAGTCATTGCAGCTAAAGGTGGCACAACCATTTATTGAGTGTAAGGGGGCAATTACTTTTTTACACAGGGGAATTGAACTTTGTTTATGAAATAAATATGTAATTGTTGTGTTATTTGTTCACTTATGTTCCCTTTATCTAATATTAGGTTTTGGTTGAAGATCTGATAACATTCAGTATCACAAATATGCAAAAGTAGAGAAAATTAGAAAGGGGGCAAATACTTTTTCATAGCACTGTATATGTATATATATGTATGCGAGAAAAAATAAACATATGGGGGATTGGAAGTGTTGCAGACAATTACATTGATGGAAGTTACAATCTATCTGTAATATTAAAGCTGATCTACCCCCTAAAAAATATAAAATACAAATAAAAAATAAATACAAAATATGTCTCAGTAATTACTCAGTAGTGCAGCAGAGGGAGCCATGCCGAAGACAACTACAAAAACCAACAGACTTTTTGTTATACTACACTATGATTTTTGATCGCTACCGTTATAGCCCTGTGAAAGACAGTAGATCCATAATACCGGACAATTTTAAGAATCTGTCCTATGTTGGGTAAAGCTCTAATCCTTTAACAGTAATCTGCTTTTGTTTGTTTTACTGATCAGGCTTGAAGGGGAGAGTACACCACCAAGCATGTGAACATATAGGATTCAATGTAAAACCTAAAGGATTAACTACCATGTTCTTAGAAATCAATCAACCGATATCATGGACAAGAACCCATTGTGCTGTAGTTGGGTGTCAGGTAGCCTCATAGCTGCGGGAAGTAGGGGTGCCCCCTGATTTAATATATATATAAAAATCTACCTGCTGCCATGGGTAGCCTAGCGGTTAAGAGTGTTGGGCCAGTAACCGACAGGTCACTGGTTTGAATTTCCAAGTCGACTTGGTGAAATGATGTGCCCTTGAGCAAGGCACCTAACCCTTACTGCTCTTGTAAGTCGCTCTGGATAAGACTGTCTGCTAAATGACTAAACTGTAATGTAAAGAAATGTAATATATATATTTATCTCAGCTATGTGATCAAAGAATAAAGTACCTGTTTTGACACATTCAATCATACACTCATATACTCTAATCCAAGTCACTCCTGTCTGGAAAAAGACTAAAATACTACAGTGCCAAACTTAGACCCTAAGGAATCCCCCACTAAACTTAAGAATCACCCTCTAAACTTGGCAATATAAAGTTTATTTTGATTTCTTAAAAGTTGCAGCAAAAACGTATCCTGCTCTTTCTGTGGAACTTTAATGGGAAATGTTGCCATCATTGAAAAACACACATTTACTGAATGAGGCAATGTCTCATCCTTCCCAGAATTTGTCTGAAAAGCTAAAAGACAGAAGTGTGTCAAACATATCTCTGTACTTTTGTCTTTTTCATTTCCTTTGTCTTTCCTAATTTCTCTATGCTTTTACCCAGTATCCATGTTCCTTAGTCAGCAGCTCTGTATTTTGTTTTCAATCTTTCAATCTTTTCTACAGTTTCATAGGTCTATTTGGGCCTGAACATCGGGATAGA